GATCTCATAACATTAAATTAAGGTCATTGTGGTATTGTAAACCGTTAATGACAATAGTGATGTAAAATCATAGTTATTTTTAAAAAATAAATCATATCGTAACGTATGTGACATTTGTAGTCGTAATTTAGTACTATGAGAGATCTTGTTTAGTGAAAAAAAACCCTATGCATGGACAGTAGTTGAACTGAAGTTTTGCAGACGTTTTACAACACTTGTGTGTACTGGTGCACTGCTTCCCTGGAAGAAGCACATGTAGATATGTTGCTTTCCCGTTGTACACATTCCTTTCATTGTAACCATAGCATAAGATCCTTCAAGCACAAAAACCCTTTTTTCCTTTTCAAAGTTTTGACAGATCTGATAAGAAATTCGAAATTCGTCAACTGTCGATCATTAATAGATTATTAACTTATTTTAGTAGTACACAACATGATCTAATCTTTGATAATAAGATAGCACCGCTACAAAATTCAATGAGATTAACCTATAGCACACAATATCAAGTAATTAAATAAGATTAACACATATCACATGATATCTAGAGTAATTTTTTGATACACGAAGTATGTAAATTGAAATTTTAAACTTAGCATAAGATTATTATGATAAACTACTTTAATATTTAAAGAGATAGTCATTAATAAAAAATAGATATATAACGCTACCAATCTTGTGACGCTATTGCCATGATTATCCATCATGCCTTTCTCACGTACTAACACGCTCAATGTAAAATTGAATAGTCAAAAAATCGTTTTGAAGTCATTTTTCTTAAAATACATGTTTAATAAGATATACAGCATCCACACTTTTATATTTGAAGACCTTTAATTTTCTTTTATATGTGAAATAATATCTCTCTCTAAAACATGATATTCAAAGCATAACCCTTTAAATTTTAAACTCTAAATGGATGTTATAATGTAAGTAGGGATAAGCATTTAACCTAAGCTCGATTGATCCCGAATTCATTTGATCGTTTAGTTTTATAAAAATTCGAATTTAAATCAAGTCGAATAGACTTTTTTTCAAAAAATAATTCAAAAAATGATTTAAAATTAAAAATCGATCAAATTTAATATAATATTATAATTATCCCTTACGGAATAAAAAACTTAACTCTACATACGAGCATCCTAAATGTGAGCATGAAGGATTTGAACCCATAGGGAGATAGTTTGTTGAAGGTTAATTGGAGCCGTATCTCATGAAACCCCCATTGATGGGAAGAGAGAGAGATAGAGATTCGGACTGTCCCACTTGCTTTATCAGCTTTTGTGGTTGAAGCCAACTTTTTTTGGGGGCTAATTTTGTTGCATGTTAAATAATTGCGGATTAGATGCTGTGACTGAGACTAACAATGAGTGTTGAGAGATTTTTAAAATCTCCAGGAAAAAAGATGATGTCCACTCTCTTCATATTCACTCCCCTTGTCCTTTATCTATTCATTTTTTTATATTAAATTTAATTATATTTTACAATAATTGAATATGTATTTTCAAAATCATACCATTTTTTATTGATTTTTCTATTGACATTATTAAAATAGTTATTTTAGTTTATATTATTTTTTTGAGTATTTTAGTTTATATTTTTTTAGTATTTTAGTTTACAACGTTTTGTTTTGGGATAAAAAACTCTCTCTATAAATAAAAATCATTAGTTAACACACAATTAATGTTTCAGAATATGAACATTTTTAATCTAAAATGAAACGTTGAGAGTTAAAATGCTTCAAAAAAAAGAATAAGAGACAAAGTGATTATTATATTAAATGTTAGAAAATTTTTTACCATAAAATAAAACATTAAGATCAAAATACTCAAAAATAAATAAATAAATATAAGATAAAATGATAATTTTGATAAGACTAATTTTGACATTATATATATAATGATGGGCATAAATCAAAATGGAAGTGTGTAGGACGAATTTTTGAGACATAAGATTTGTATTGGTATCCGTAATAACTTTCTCTTTTTCATCTTCTTTCGGTTTAACCATTTTCCCTTTGGTTTTGTTCTTTTGCTTTGCTTTTCCAATAAAATAAAAGAAAAAATGGAGTGAGAAAATGAGTTACGAAAGAAAATGAACATGTGTCATATATCGTGTATTTATTAGATACTTTTTTAAAGGATTTAACAAGAAAATCTATAAATGAGAATGAAATAAAACATTATATATATATATATATATATATATATATATATATATATATATTGTCAAAAAAACTAAACATCTAAAATAAAAAAGAATTATAATCCTAACACTTATTTATCAATTGAGTCTATTCTTTTAGTATCTTCAATATTATTTAAGGTAAAATACACAAATGGTTTCATGACTATAAGTTATTGCATTATTGAATCTCATAATTATTAAAAGTTAGAAAATGATCATTCGATTGTTGAGTCACTCAACTATCATACGTTACAAAATGGTCACCTGACTATTTATTATACTCTAGAATTCGTCATTTTTCGTTAAAAAAATTAACGACATTCTGAGCTAGACGTTAATATGTTGAAAAAGCTATGAGAAAATATGATATCATAATCTCAAACGACTATTATATCTCGGTCAACATATTAACATTTATCTCAGACGATCATAATTTTTTAAGGGAAAAAGACAAGTTTAGAACATAATGAATACTCGGATGACCATTTTGTAACTTTTAATAGTTGAGGGACTAAATAAATCAACACCTTATAGTTGTGTGACCATTTTGTATTTTTTAAAAATAAGATGACTCAACAAATAAGTACATTCTAATTGATAGATCATTTGTATACTTTATCCTATTATTCGATTATTTATGTTTGAAGTTCATTGTTATCCCTCCTAATAATATTATAATGTGTACAACTATGTTTTATAATATTTTGATATAACAAATTAAGACAAAATGTTTTTTGAACTTGGTTGAATTTGTTCAAGGTTTTCAAAAATAATTTAAAGTTCATTAAACTATAATTTGAACACAAGATAGTATTTGGGTACATAGTATCGATACCGTTTTTACAACATCGATACTACATGAACAATACCGATATTGTTCATGTGGTATCGATACCAAAGGTAAGAGAAGTATCGATACTTTCTAGGTAGTATTGATACTACCAATTGTTTTCCAAATTGCTCAAATTCCATAATGCAAAATAGGTACTAATACTCAAGGGTACCGATACTACTTTACACATTGGTATCAATACCACGAAGCATAATATCAATGCTGACCAAGCCCAACGGTCTTCAATGGCTAGTTTATTTAAATATTACAAAGGTAGTATTGATACTCGTTAAGGAGCACTGATACCCCCTGTTCTGGGCATCTATTTTACAGAAAATTAATCCCTAACGGCTCCAAAACAACCTCAACGGCTAGAAACAACCACAAACTCATTCCAACATATAAAAACAAGTTGAGAACACTTGAAGAATGTTAGAGAACACTTATCTAAGCAATCAAACACAAGATAATATTTTATTCTTATTTTCATTTCTCTTGTAAATATTATTATTTTAGTGAGCTTAATTTTTGTAAATACCTACCTTTAAGGGAGGTTTTCTTGTTTACATATTTTATTCATTTTGTAAATGAGATTGATTATAGCTTAACCTTTTGAAAAGTTAGAGAGTTATAAAGGTTATCTCTTTGTCCTAGAAAAAGAAAGAATAAATTAGTGGATTTTTTAGAAAATATTAAGTGATGAGCTTAGGTAGTGGATGTAGACTTGGTTGAGAAGTCGAACCACTATAAATCTTTGTGCAAATTATTTATCTTTATGCTCCTTACTCCCTAAACTCAAAAAGCCAATTCATCCCCTCTTAGTAAATTATTCGGTTGATCAATTTGAGCTTCATTGAATCCCAACATAAAGTTATAGTTTGAATTCATTATGTGAGAATGCAGTCTATCTTACCACCACACATAATGTTTAACAATTAACATAATTTTTAAAACTTAAATTATAAGACTAAATGATATTTAACTCATAAGTTATATTTCATTATCAATTATGTGCAAGATTTTTTTGTCTAATCATATATTAAAAGAATTGATCCAAAATGACTAACATAAAAAAATATTTTTATCGAAACCTATAAAAAAACGGTCAGATTTGAGTCAAATACCCATCCTTAAGTGTAATATGCATTATTTTAACATATATATTCATTACAAAAAATGTGTCACTCTATGATACATAATATATATTAAATTTTAAAATCTTTAATAAATTATATAAAAAACTCTAAACATAAAAAAACAATTTTATTAAATAAAAATTTGACCTTTTATTAAATTTTAAAGTGTTATACATTTTTTTAATTTTTTTTTGAGTTTAATATACATTATGAGATATGTTTCTAGAATGTAGGTATATTTCTCTATAATAAAAGAGAAATGAAGTGACGCACATCTTAATTAAAATTTTGAAAACAAAACAAAATTTAATAGAATATAATTAAAGGGTAAAAAATCATTTAACACAAAAATATATATAAACAATATATTATAAAAGTGAACCTATCAAATGGTTATAATGATTAAAAGAAATGATTTCTTTCAAGAAATTTTAGATACCAACAATGACGTTTGTAAGATGTGCATACATTGATAGAAAAAAAATCAAATAGATACCATTTTATAAGAATCTACAAAAAAAAATACTATAAAATAAATTGGATGAACTCTTTATAAGGTAAGGTAAGACTTTTAATTCCCAAATGGTAAATATTATAAAGTGCTCTTTTAGTATTGAAAGTGCAAGATCACAATGCCTACACACTATAACATAAAATGAGAGTTTGAAGAAGAGTTTTATTTATGAATGGGTGATTTCGTGCTCCATAAACCTTTTCCCACTTGTTTGCCTTCTAGTCTTCGTCGATTTGATGTCTCTTTTCTTCCATTGTTGTATTTATTTTTGCTTCCCTTTCCTAATACATGGAGTAAAAGCTAAGAAAACAAATTTATAAACGTCTAATCTCTCTCTCATATATCTTTTTCTCTCTTTGTTGTTTGCCAGTAATGGCAGTGTGCCAGTGTGCACAGTAAGCTCGGTGCAAGAAAAACGGGTTTAAGAGCTTTCATCGGGAAGATAAAGCTTTGCATCCCACACAGCCACACAGGGCAGTCGTCTGCTTAATAGTTGAGCCATGAAAATTTGAAGCATTTTTTCTTTATTTTCTTTTTCTCTGCATGCCCCGCGTGCGTTCTGCAGTGAAATCCTACTGAAACACAGCTCTTTTTCTCTCTCTCTTTCTTTTCTTCCAAACAAGTGCAAAAGAAGCTGAGAATTAATGCTCTTCTGTTAATGACTAGGAAGATAAACAAACACCACAAACTCCCATTTTCCAAAGGAAATCTGAGCAGGCTTTGCCAGAAATTGAACCCACAGAGAGTAGAATCCCACTTTTCATATGAAAAGCCTGTTTCTTTGTAGCATAAATCTCGGGAGAGTTCTTGAGATATAAACAATATTTAGGGGAAAAAAAAGAGAATAGATTGCGTAGGAAAGAGAAACCAACAAGAGAGAAGAGAGAGAATGTGTTCTGTTGTTATATAGTAAAGCCCTTAAGTGAACAACTAGGAGAAGAAAGAAAGAAAAAAGGAAGATAAGATAGTGAGAGAGATAATGGAAGGTGGTTCCAATAGCACTTCTTCTTGCATTATGGCTTTTGGACACGATAGTAATGAACTGTGTCCTATGACGATGATGCATCATCATCATCCCATGACTTCTTATCCCCATCATCATAATGCAGACTCAGGATCCTTATTTCTTCCTCTACCTCCTGTTAACAATCAAGGCCAGAATCACAATAGCAGCAGTGGTTCTTCTATGATCCTAGACGATCATCACAACAACAACAGAAACAATACTGGATGTTATATCATGGAGAGCAACAACGATGGCAGCTCTTTTATTAAGGCCAAGATTATGGCTCATCCTCACTTCCATCGTCTCTTGGCAGCTTATGTCAATTGCCAAAAGGTGAAAACTAAACTAGTTTCTCATTTGTTATTTTTTGGTCTTGAAAGCGAGAGGTCCCGGACTCTTTGTGAGTAAGAAATACGTGTGATGGGGACATGAGTCTCGAGTATTTTCCCTAATAATTGTGAAGATATATTATTTTTTTTCTAGTGGAAGTAGTAATAACTTAACGAAACCAAGCAGGTAGGAGCGCCGCCTGAAGTGGTGGCGAGGTTGGAAGAAGCATGCGCGTCCGCCGCCACTATGGGTCCTTCTAGGACCAGCTGCATAGGTGAAGATCCAGCACTTGACCAGTTCATGGAGGCATATTGTGAGATGTTGGCTAAATACGAGCAAGAGCTCTCTAAACCCTTCAAGGAAGCCATGCTTTTCCTCCAAAGGGTTGAGTGTCAGTTCAAAGCCCTCACAGTTTCATCTGCAATTTCTGGTGATAATACTCTCTATCTCCTCCTCCAACTCCTCCTCTCTCTCTCTGTGTCTTTCTCCCCCCAAAATTGATAATTTCTAATATTATATTTTTGAAAACATCATGCATGGCTATGGATCTTGGGACATGTAGCATTAAATAATTAACAAAATAATTTATGTATATTCAGAGAAGCGTGTTGTTTCAAAGTCATTCATTCATTCCATTTTCTTGTCATCTTCCTTTCTTTGCTCAAAGTTTTTAGTTATCTTCTTGATGTGCTTTCTTGTGATGTTGTCTGGTTTTCTATATATGGGACACGCATTTTAACCATTTCGGAGTTCAACCGTAGAAGGAAACGCCTTCTAAACGTATGCTATCTGTAGCATTGAAAGATGTCTTGTTTTGTTATTTAACAATCCTAGTAAATAAGGAACTTTGCAGTGAAGTAAACATCTGGAGTAACCAACTAAACTACTACCTAGTTTGGTTGCTAAGCCTTCCGAAAATGGAATAAGTGATGAACCAAACAATGGGAATATATGTTGCAGCTTGTAACTTGCTAGGGCTAGTCTACATAATATTGAGATGGGAAGGTACTGTAGTGCTTAGATAACTGAAAGATATTGTTCAAAGATTATTACCACACTGTCAAGGAGGATTTAGGGTTTGATCAAAATAGGGTTGCAGATGGATTAAGGGAATAATATCCCTAATTTTGGGGTATTAAATTGGAATGCTATTTCAAATTAGGTAAGGGACTTGGTCTCATTGAGAGTAATGATCATATATTTAGAGTTCTTTATAAGTTGAATTCCTAATTGATATACAATTTAATTTATGTCTGCAGCCTCTAGCCCTTTATAGTTGTGGTCCTAGTTTTCATGCATCATGCAGCAGCTTCAATTTTTTTCAGGCTAGGATCTCAAGCTGAGTGTTCTTTTCAGGTTAGCAACCTAAGTTATGGGAGCCTTAGCATTAGAATTAATGTTTGTACATTGTTGTTGCCATTTTTGAGCTTAGGGATGTTTCATTTTATAAAATTTCTGATGATGACTTTGTTAATGCCAATAATATGTTCCACAAATAATTTTAGAGTTATTGCATTCTGGTGACGCCAACTTCTTCCTATTATGATGAACACAGATTGCTATCACCCTATATCATATAATGATCCCGATTTCGAGGTATGGAATTTAGGTTAGGTGTACCTCCAAAAAGTATAATTTAATTCCTCTTAAGTATTGTTTGAACCGTCATATTGATTGATTCCAATTGTTTATCATCATGGCTTAATTTCCCTGCATAACACGAAAGTGTCAGTCTTCATTGTCTCTCAAGAATTCCTAAGTTTTTAGGGTTTCTTAAGTCTTCACATTTGTGTGTGTAAATTGCTTACTGATTTGTTTATATTCAGCTTGTGGAGAGGGTGTTGACAGGAATGTATCATCTGAGGAAGATGTTGATGTGAACAACAATTTCATTGATCCCCTTGCTGAAGATCGAGAACTTAAAGGTCAGCTTTTGCGGAAATACAGCGGATATCTAGGCAGTCTGAAACAGGAGTTTATGAAAAAGAGGAAGAAAGGGAAGTTGCCTAAGGAAGCCAGGCAACAGTTGCTGGATTGGTGGAGTCGGCATTACAAATGGCCTTACCCATCGGTAAGTACACATTGCAGAACTTATTCTTTCTATTATGTTATCGACTCATCTCCATTTATGCATCCAACCCCTAACTCCATTTTGACAGGAGTCTCAAAAACTTGCCTTGGCTGAGTCGACTGGTCTGGATCAGAAGCAGATAAACAACTGGTTCATTAATCAAAGGAAAAGGCACTGGAAGCCATCCGAAGATATGCAGTTTGTGGTAATGGATGCGACGCATCCTCACTATTATATGGACAATGTTTTGGGCAGTCCTTTTCCTATGGATCTCTCCCCAACTCTTCTCTAAAAGATCCAAAGTATTTTCGCCCTATATCGCCGCTGGCAGGAAGCTTGAAGGTTGCTGCATCTATATGCAAAAAAAAAAAAAAAACAGTGATATAACGAAGTAGGAACATAGTTTATGTTATATTATCCTATGCAATATGCATGCATACCTCGTGTATGCAGTTTCAGGCTGTATTTATTATATAATGTTCTGACTCTTTGAATCTGATATATATATTTGATCTCTTTTATATTGAATAGACTGTTGTTTTGGTTTTCTTTTACCCCATCCGAAAGGGATTTGAAGCTAGTTCAATATCTGATTAGTGGTGCTGAAGGCTTTGTTATGTATGATTTTCTTTTGCAGGGCTTGAATGTCTATAGCATCTTACTGCACGACACATTAGTGAGGTCTCATGATGCTGTCGACAGGATTGTCATGTTGTTCGGATTCTCCATATGAACAAAAATATTTATGTTCGAGAATATAAACTTATTTACACTAGATTTCGAGTACCATAATATATGAATATTTATCTGATAATTATGTGTTAGCAGTTATGTTGATTTCTGTCAAGAGTGTGGGGGCCATTTCCTTTTCATGCCCATTGACTGAAGTGGAGTCCCCAACTAGCCTAAAGCTAAAGAGTCTTATGAATGAAAATCCAGCATAATGCTATTGTTTTGCACTGGAAAAATCACAATTTCTACAACAAAAGCTCACTTTTTTTAACTTATCCACATTGTCATTAGTAATGATTAGGATAAAATAATAATAATAAAATAACTGTTCTTCAAGCTCTTGGTCGTACAGTTTGAGGATGGTGTGCCACCTTGTCAGGGTTGTCTCTACTCCCCCTCTCCCATGAGGGTAACATGATTCGTCTTTCTTTCGTTCTCCCTGCCTTAAATTCTTCAATACTCCACCAGTTTGACTTTTTGAAGATAAACCACTGTTCTTCAAGATGCAAATGCATCCACCTATGCATATTAACATTAATTTGTATGCGATTGTGTATTAAAGGTGTACCATAGATGTTTTCAGCAATGTAGTTTGCGATGGCTTAAGAGTGAAAGAGTGCTGTTTTTGCAGTTGGAGATTGTGTTTTGATGCGTCCTTCCGACACCGGTAAGCACCCGTATGTGGCACAAATTAAGAAGATTGAATCAGACAGCAGGTACAACGTGCAGGTTCGAGCGCAGTGGACTGGTGGTATTATTGTCCTGAGGAGAAGTGCATTGTTCATACTTTCAAGAACTACACTAAACTTGAGAATGTTGGGGCTGAGAACTACTATTGCAGAGTCTAATCTAAAGCTGCTACGAGATCCTTTACACCCGACCGAGTTGCTGTGTGAGTACTATGACATGTAGTTGAAGAGTGGCCCATATGACAAGCGATTGCTCGGATCTCACCCTTGAATACAGTCTCACACCATAACAAAAATTTACTTGGGACAGATGGACAAAGCATGCAACAATGCCAACATCTAGAGATTATTATATACTGGTCGGGAACTGGAAATAGGTTTGACCTGTTGAGTGGTTTCCGACCAGTCAGTCGCTCCAACACCACCATCCTGAAACTGTATACATCGCTCATCACAGTATATACTCTGGACAAAACAAACTCAGGAGCACTATAACAGAATGAACCAAGCATCTGTGCTGTGCAATATCAAATCGAACCAAAAAAGAAGTTAAATTTGAATTATTTACATAAATTATTTTAGATTTAAAATTATTTTTAATTCTATGCAAAATTTGAATTTAAATTAAATTTTTTATTATAAATCTATTTCATTAAATTAAGAATTGTCGATGACAATAAATTTGTCTCGTGTGTTGTTGGCTATTCATCTATTCTGTTTGGGACGAGGGTCGCGACTGAAGAGGTAACAACTGTTGGTCAATTTTTAGAAGAAGAAAAGAGTTGGTCACCATGAGGATGCAGAAGACTATATAGAGGTCGTGAAAGTTTCAATCTTTTTTCAATCTTGATTGAGAATATTTATAGTGACCTTTAATACATGTGTTAGTTGTAAGACCATTATGACTATTTGTAGACTAACGAGCTAGGTGAATTCGTTAGTCAGATTTTAGATTATGTTCTGACTTGTTACATGAGACTATCAGAGGTCTTACCTATGCATTGTAATTAGCTAGAAGTTTATATTCAAGGAGATGATCTTGGCTAGGGGTGTTCAAATAACCGAATTAATTCGGTTCGGTCGTTCGGTTAACCGACCGAACCGAATTAGTTTGGTTAATTCGGTAAATTAACCAAAAATAAATTTTAAATATTAAATATATTATATATAACATATGGGCTCAGCCCAAACCATTTAAAACCCAATTAATAATTTAAGATCCAATAATTTTTAAACCTAAATCAATATTAATTAATTAAAAAAATTATATAAATTTTTTATTTTATAATTATATATTATTTAAATTAATTGTAAACTGTTTTTTTAATTAAAAATATTAAATATATTATATATAACATTTGGGCTAAGCCCAAACAATTTAAAACTCAATTAATAATTTAAGATCCAATAACTTTTAAATTTAAATCAATATTAATTAATTAAAAAATTTATCTGAAATTTTTATTTTATAATTAGATATTATTTAAATTAATTATAAACTTTTTTTGAATTAAAAACATTTAATTTTTATATAAATTAGAAAATTTTTAAAAAAATTCGGTTAATTCAAAAATTAACCGAATTAACCGAAATTAATTCGGTTCAATTAATATGTTTGAAAAAAAAGTTCGGTTCGATTAACGGTTAAAGAAAAAAAAATTCGATTAATTCGATTAAGGGTAGTTCGATTCGGTCGGCCACCGTTTTAACCGAATGAACACCCCTAATCTTGGCGGGTGGAGAGATGACAATTTTAACGAGTTTAATCTGATGAAAGTTTGACTATCTACGAAGGTATAACAAGATTCAAATTTATCGAATCAATTTTTTTTTAATTTAAATCAAAATCGAGAGACATAGTACTCCATATCTACATCGGAAAGTACAATTCCAGGTAGATTGGGCCTCTTCTAGATATTGGAAATCTAACAAAGGAACAATATTTAGCCCAGAAATCTCATACAAAAGGCAAATGTTAGGGCCAATGTTAAAGCAACCAATCAGTTTATCTCCAGCATTATCCCGATTCTCTTTCCAGTTCAACCTGTTCTCACACTCTTCAAGCTTCTTCTTCTTTGCTCTCTTCTTCGAACCTCAATTTATCACCAGAAATGAATATTACCCATACTAAACTCCAACCATTCCCACTCTCTCCTCCTCTTAATCACCGTGCTCTTCTCTTTTCAAGCAAAAGTCTTTCATTGCCACGAAAATTGAAACATGCCCACGTTAAAAACTCACCATCTTTTGCTTCCACTCTGTATAGAAAACACACCCTTTTAAGCTATGGTTGTTCTGGTATTAGCATAAGTAGAATCAGGAGCTCGATAAGTGGGGTTGAAGATGAGAAGCAGCAGAAACCAGTGCTTGTGAAAAGGGCATATCCGTTCGATGAAATTGAGCCCAAATGGCAGCGTTATTGGGAAGAGAATCGGACCTTCCGTACACCCGATGATGTTGATGCTTCTAAACCCAAATACTACGTCCTTGACATGTTCCCTTATCCCAGGTCCTTTAATCCATTTTTAAATTGTTGTTTACTTTATTGTATTTTCAAAAGTAGAACTCTTTTGGGGATAATCCCAGTTTCATTAAGCATATGTTTGTGCTTTTTAGCGGATTGAATGTCTTGGGCCTCTTGGCTTTGAGTTCCATTCATAAATATGTAGGAACTGAGTAGCTCTGAGTTGTTTTGAATGAAGTTTTTGTGTTAAATGTTTTGGATTAATGCCATGCAGTGGAGCTGGATTACATGTTGGGCACCCCCTGGGATATACGGCCACAGATATTCTTGCTAGGTTCAAACGCATGCAAGGTTACAATGTGTTGCATCCAATGGGATGGGATGCTTTTGGATTGCCTGCTGAGCAATATGCAATTGAGGTTTGTGTTGAAATCATGATTTTTAATTCTCATTGTTGTGGAATGCCATGGTTCTATTTTTAATTTATTAATTGGTTTCATAATGCGGTTCACACAGACTGGAACTCACCCAAAACTCACAACGTTGAGGAACATTAATCGCTTTACCTCCCAGGTTATTACTCTTTATTGTCCTTGGAGATCAAACATATGTGGAATGTGTATGATGAATTTTTTATAGTAGTGGTTTTAGAAGTTCATCTTACTGTCTTGCAATGGTTCTGATGGTTATTACCAATCAAATAGATATAGAGACAGTATTTAATAATGTGTTTATTTAAATAAAATAATGAAAATATATGGTCAAAGTCCGCTCACTTCCAAAGAGGCAACGACTTGGAAATTTAAACCCTTTAAGATGCTGAAAGCTTTCTATTAGCCATTATGAGTTAGTATCTTTCTTCGAAGTTTCTATAGTTTTCTTAATGTATAGCTTCTTAAGTTTGACAATTTTTGGTCATCTTTGGCAGTTGGGTTTGATAGCTCTGCCAATTTGTAAGCATCTATGTGGTTAACTTGAATGGTCTCTTACATTAATCATTACTTGCAGCTTAAATCATTGGGTTTCTCATATGACTGGGATCGTGAAATATCCACCATTGAACCCGAGTACTATAAATGGACCCAATGGATCTTTCTTCAATTGTTAAAGAGAGGATTGGCCTACCAGGTCTGGGTTATGACTAGTTCCGTGTTCATTTTCCTATTATTACTTTTTATATATCCTCACCATAAATTTGATCTGATGGTTTATCTAATTCTTTCAGGCTGAAGTACCAGTTAATTGGTGTCCGGCTCTTGGTACTGTCCTTGCAAATGAAGAGGTTGTGGATGGTGTAAGCGAGCGTGGGGGTCATCCTGTTATCAGAAAGGTATTTCAGTTTAATTATTTGTTCACAGGGTATCCATTTTTCCTAGTTTAGATACTTCACTTATTCCTGTTTTTGTGAATGTTTAATATTTTACAGTGTCATTGTTTATTACAAACAGCCAATGCGGCAATGGATGCTGAAGATTACTGCTTATGCCGATCGTCTTCTTGAAGATCTGGATGAACTTGATTGGCCTGAAAGCATCAAAGAAATGCAAAGAAACTGGATAGGGAGGTCAGAGGGGGCTGAAGTCGAATTTTGTGTTCTTGACAGTGATGGAAGAGAAACAGACATGAAAATTAC